TATTTTTTTTTTATTTTTTTTTTTTTTTTTTTTAATAGTTACTGGTTACATAACACATATCATAATAAAGAGAAAAAAATATTAAATGAATTTCAAAAGGCCAAAAAAAATTTGGTAGAAAAAAAAAACAAACAAACTAAAAAAAAAAAAATATATATATATATATAAAAACCTGACAGCTGTTGCTAATAAGTATTGACACTAGCATCTGATTCAGCAACAATCAAAATATCGAAGCTAAAATGTATGAAATTACTTAATATACAAATATTCCAGTTCTTTTTAGTGATGCATGCCATCAAGGCACTGGTTATGATCTTTTCTTCTCTCTCGTAGGGATCTAAAGCGGTGGAGGGCTGTGTATCTGGATCTGCTGCTGTTCACGAGTCTCCCTCCCCTTCACTGCATCTGTGCAGAAGCAAAGAAACTCCATGCTGTAAATCCTGTGAGAGCTTCTCTCATCACGTGAGCAGCAGCAGACATTTCCACAGTCAGCCTGTCTTACCGGACACCTGCGTACAGGAAAACAGCTGTGCCAAGAGCCTCACGGAGTTACTGGTGAGTCTGATACCACAAACTGACAAATTTTTGATCTATGTTGTGTGAACCAGTGTTATTTTAGTATTATTTATACACCAATATAATCGTTATGGGCTCTGATACTGCTTTTTTTTTTTTTTAGTTTACCAGATTTAGCACTACCTTAAGTTCACTTATTTTTACTCACTAAATGATGTTTTTTCACCAAATAAAATGTGTACCCAAAATTTGGCTGCTGATTTGTCAACTAAACTACTTTATAATATATTCCTATTTTCTCTATGAAGTAGAGTGTATTTCATGGATTGTGTTTAACACATAAAAGAGTGATCATCACTCTGGGTGATAGATTATCAGATAGATTATTAAAAACTGGTACTGGTACATCCCTACTTTTGAATTTGCTTTTCAGTTCATAGTTTCAGTTTAGCTTAAGTTTTAGTAGTTTTGTTATGTGCTTTTGTCACATTCATTAGTTTTTTCTTTTTAAATATTTCCATATAGCTTTCATTTTTAAATGTTAATAATTTTAGTACTTAAAGGGATAGTTCACCCAAAAATGAAAATGTGATGTTTATCTGCTTACCCCCAGGGCATCCAAGATGTAGGTGACTTTGTTTCTTCAGTAGAACACAAACGAAGATTTTTAGCTCAAACCGTTGCATTCTGTCAGTCTTATAATGGAAGTGGATGAGAATCACGGCTTTGAGAGTCCAAAAAACATACACAAACAAAGCCAAATTAAACCCTGCGGCTCATGACGATACATTGATGTGTAAAGACACGAAACGATCGCTCTGTGCAAGAAACTGAACAGTATTTATATAGTTTTTTACCTCTGATGCACTGCAATGTCCGAACTGTCCTGAGCGCGTCCTGAGCGCATCCTGAGCACGTCCTCGACAACAGGCACATGACGCGTCTACTTCTTCTTGCTTTACGGCGGATCGCAGACTTATAAGTGCATTACCGCCACCTATCTCTCAAATGCACCATTGACACTCGTAATTGAGATTGTAGCTAGAGTGTCAATGGTGCCGTGATTCCCATTCACTTCCATTATATGACTGACAGACTGCAACGGTTTGAGTTAAAAATCATCATTTGTGTTCTACTGAAGAAACAAAGTCACCTACATATTGGATGCCCTGGGAACGTATTTTATTTCAGCTAGTTGCCAAGGCAACATTTCTCATTTTTATTTAAATTTTAATAGCTAAAACAACTAAAACTGAAATAAAAATGACTAAAAAACGATAGAGACGTATTTAAAAATAAAATTTAAATGACGAAAACAATATATTAAAAATTCAACAATTAAAACGGGAAATATAAAAAATAAAAACTAATTCAAACTATTAATAAAAATATATCAATGATACTAAAAAAAACTGAAAGTGAAATTAAAAGCTTGAACTTTGCAAAATATTTGATATTTACGCTTGGTTGTACGTTTATTTTGATTCCTATACTTGCCTCCTCCGGCACCTTTTATTGACTAATTATATATATATATATATATATATATATGTATAAGTAATTTTTGAGTGGTTTATACAAACTTTCAATAATACAGCGTTCGTGTACAGTATCAATTTATGAGTGGAAAAAAAAACGTACGGGCGGCGACAGCAAGCTAAAGCTTTTTCTTTTTCTTCTTATCGCCGCCGCCGTTAATAATTAATCGCGGTTTCTGCGGGGATTGGAATCTGGATCCGTCTGTGGCGAGCTGTTCCTGGGTGTTAACCGCAGAAGATCAGGGAGGGCTGGAGTGATTTGTTCCCGCCTTAAACCCGTTCACTGATCCCATTCTGAATCGGAGATATTACTGCACGGGCGCTGCAGTTCTGATACACTGTTTCAGTCCGGCGCGGATTAGAACTCTCAGTGTTACATTGTGACATCGCGCCGCGCTGACTGTGATACACTGTATCTGCCGCCTCTGATGATGATGAGGATGGAGCGCTGGAAGGGGAGAGTCGCGCTGGTCACCGGAGCGTCTGTCGGGATCGGAGCGGCTGTAGCTCGCGCTCTCGTCCAGCACGGCATGAAGGTGGTCGGCTGCGCGCGGAACGTGGACAAGATCGAGGTAAGCGACGCTCAAACGAGCTCTTCGACAGATTGTTACCGCTCAAGGGCCTCAGCGCTGCTTATGTTTGCTCACTGCAGCCAGAGTCAATCAAGTGCTTCTCCTCAGGAGACAGACAGTTCATGCTTTATTTAGAAGTTCATTTGGAGAAATGACAGCTCAGCTACAATCGACCTGTTACAATGATTGATCGCGTGTGAAGTATTGATAGGCTTCGCCCCGCCCACTTTACACTACAATACAAAATCACACTACTGTACGTATCGCATGCATTTCAATACGTTTTTGCATAAGTTCATAAGCCTAGGCGAGTTTAAGGTTGCTTTTTGTTACATTGTATAATGTTAAATATACTGTTATTTGGGTTTAGGAGTAGTTCACCCAAAAATGAGCATTTTGTTACGGTTTTCTCACCTCCATGTCATTTTAAACTCGCACACAAGAGTAGTAGGATTCGTATTCTTCAAAACATCTCCTCTTGTCTTTCACATAAGGGGGTTTTGAACAACACGACAATGAGTAAATGACACTATTTTAAAATGATGGGTGCAACACACAAGCACTGATTGTAGAGTATGTGTCCCTTTAAGAATGACCAGAGGAGTTGTATTGTTCAGTGAGATTCTCACTTCAACATTCCTCAACCCTTGCTCAGAAGCTGTCAATCAATTAATCATGTCTTGTCAATCATTGATGGGATTTTTCAGCCCTGCCCTTGAGTAAAAGACTCCACCAAACTCTCACAAGTTGTGTAGTTGTGTATACAAGAAACTGAATTTTTATAGTTCAGTGATTATATATATATATATATATATATATCGTTATATTATTAATTATAACTATTTATGATATGTTTATTGTTTTATACTTTATTTACTATATTAAAATGTATTATTATATTATGTAAATAATATATTATATTATTAATTATCTATCTTAGATTAATGATATAATACATAAAAAATATATGTATGTATAATATCATTTTTGTTATAATATTATTTATTATATTTTTACATTGTCTATTATATTATATTATTGTATATGATTTTTTTATTATAATATTTTTTGTATATTTTTACATTTTCAGCTCATTTTTGGGTGTTCCTTTAATGAGGAAATCATTGAAACATTACACAGATCTTTGCATTGCATTGCAGATAAGATCAGAAGAGTACATTCAGTGGTGCTTGGTAAGATCAGTTTGATCCGCACTAGACCGCAGCACTTTAATCATGACTTTCAGGCAAAGTGACTGGTTAAATCATACTATAATTACTTTGTGCTCAGCTCTGTGCATTGGCAGATTGTTTCTTCATTTAGTTTAGTTGTATATTTGCACAGCTTATCGATACTCCAAGAATTCATCAAATCTGGTTGCAATGAGAGAATTTACTTGCACATGATCTTACATTGATTATGCTTACTCAAACTTTGTTTTATTGGGAAAAGGGTGATTTGAGTAGAGCAGTTCTACAAATCCCGATCAACACAACACAACTAGATTTGTGCAGATTACCACGGTTTTGGCTTTGCATGAGCACAAAACTTTTATCAGCATGTTCATGGGTTTATTCCGTTTATTCATGTCTTGTGCTCATATCTATTTTTATTATTTTTTTGCTATCGAAAAAACAAAGCCCCAACGATTTCAGTGTTTAATGTAATGTTTTATATGAACATTCCATTTGATCGTTTTTATCATTATGTGAATGTTACTTTTGAATGTTCTCTGAATGTTCTGAAACAAGTAGTAACATTTAAAAAAAGTTAAACGAACATTCAACTAAAACGTTTCAGAAAAAAAAACATTTCGTAAACGATATATAAATGTTTTTCTGCTAATCTTTTGAGAACTTTGAATGAACATTCTGTTAACGTTACTGGAAGAACGTTACTTTGAGAACCTTGCTAGAACATTTCGAGAACGTTCCCTGTTAGCTGGGTTTACAGCAGCATAAGTGTTAAATAATTAAACCAACCTTTTTGATATCCTGAAAGACATTCTGTGCAGTGAGCGAAACATCACACACTTAAGTGCAAATGTCACATGCATGCTTGTGTTAGACAGTATGCATGAATAGGAAATGTCACTGTGCAATGTTGTTATTCCTGTCTGGAAGCTCAGTTTTCTCAAACCACAGTTCCCTGAACTGATTATTCCAGTTGTCAGTTACAGTAATAGATGGCCTTTGTGTATGTTTTGTTGCAACTGAAGCATGCACAACCAAACCAGTTGTGGGCACTTTTATAATGCGTCAGATTGCAAGGGCAAACATCGGACGATGACATCAGCCACCCGTCCATCCATTCATGAGTCATATTTTTGTGTTGCATGAACAAAAGAAGAATTGGAGTGACACACAAGTCTGAGAATTGTTCATTTCTACAGAGAAGTAAAGCCAGTGAGTTGTATGCAGTGTGAACTGTGCTCTATCACAGTGGTACCCAACCCTGGTCCTGGAGGCACCCCAACACTGCACGTTTTGTATGTCTCCTTAATCAATCACACCTGATTCAGGTCATCAGCTCATTAGTAGAGACTCCAAGATCTGAAATTGGTGTGTCAGAGAAAGAAGATATGCAAAATGTGCAGTGTTGGGGTGCCTCCAGGACCAGGGTTAAGAACCACTGCTCTATCAGATCTGTGAAAAGCAGTAAGCGCCGCCTCAGTCGCCAGATTTAATGCCAAGTTTCACAGCTCTCGTAAAAGGCACTTAATCAGACCTCAAATAGCCTTTACAGACTCTGTCGTCTTCCGGTGGCCGAGGATCGAGGCGCTGCAGCTAATTCATTCTGTCGTCTTGGCAGGAGGCTCATTGTATTTGTTTAAGCGCGTCACTGCGGTGCCTTCAGACGGACCCGACTCCTCTTTTATTTTTGCTTCTGTTGAGATCTCTGGGCTGTTTGCCAGCCGCAGTTTGAGTAAAGAGGGTTTTTCCCCCACTGTGCTTTGAAATGGATTGTGCTTCATTCACACTTGCTGATGTACACTCGCCATGCTTTCGCTCTTTAGCTCTGTTCCAAAATCTAGTGAGCTGCCTACTTAGACAGCATTATTATAAGACATCATAGCTTCACTACAGACACAAAGCTGCCTACAACTCAAGAGTTTT